TGAAAGATGTCACAGGTCATGAGTCTGCCACTCTTTAAGAATCCAGAGATAGTGACTGGTGGTAGCCCAGTTCACTTACCAGCTTTAGGGAGTCAGTTCTCTTGGCCAACCTGGCTGGGTGGTGGCACACACCTTTAATTCCAGCACCTGGGAGAAAGAGGCAGGCAGATCCCTGGGTTCGAGGTCAGCCTGGACTACAAAGCAAGTTCCAGTATGTTACACAGAGAAATCCTGTCTTTAAAAAAACATAATAATAATAGTAACAACAATAATAATCCAGCCTTTCCTTTTGAGCCCCCCTGGGTAAGATACAGTAAACAACTCTAGAATTCCTTAGCCAGAAGAAAGTGTTCAATATACAGGTGTTCCCTCCATGAGGCTCTGGGGGCAGCTCCAGATCTGATCTGATTCCCTGTTGAAGCTTGTGACTCTGCTATGTGGGGTGTAGACTTGGGACAATATCTTCACCTCCAGAGTATGGGTGCCTGGGGCAGGAGAGTTGGTGCAGTAGTTAAGAGCACTTGATGCTCTTACAGAGGACCCAGGCTTGGTTCTCATCATCTACATGATAGCTCACAACCATCCATAACTCCAGCTTCAGAGGATTCAACATCCTCTTATGACCTCCACGGGCAGCACACAGGTGGTGCACATACATGGACACAGGCAAAATACCCGTGCACATAAAACAAACCTAGAAGAGAGGAACTACTGAGTGCATATTCTGTGGGAATCGTAAAATGCTGTGTTAGGCACCTACTCTTGGTTGGTATCTGTCACTGACAATGTCCTTCTTAGCTAGCAGGATGCCAGACTCCTTCTCTCCCTCCTTCGGGTTTATCACACAGTGGTGACATTGTGAGTGATGCTCCCAGCTCTGTCCAGCCCTGCAAATATGGACCAAGCTGAGTCTTCTTGAGAATCTGGCTTCTACACCACCTTCATGGGGCAAAGGTGTGGTAGTTCAGGAGACATCAGATTCCCCTGACTCCACAAGCCCTCACAGCTTCATACAGTTCAAGAAAATAATAGTGATGTGCTTTGGATGGGGACAAGTGCAGGGCCTTTGGTTCCTCTTCAAATCCCACTGCTACCCCTTAATCTGTCTGCTATATGAATTTGTCACTTTCTGAAGGAGTCAAACCATGAACCCTCCTCAGGAGCCTCAGCTTTTCTGAAGGTATAGTCTTGGGGTTCTGGCTGTGCACTGATCTGCCTGCTACAAAAGCACTTTGGTTCTGGTATCATACAGAACCATGCAATAAACAACAAGGCTGTCAGAAACCTCGGGGATCATCTATCCCATAATCCTATTGAACAGATAAGAAACAAAGGCTAAATGGAAATTACTTGCCCAAGGTAACTTAGCTATTAAGTGCCTAGGGCTTTTTGTTTATCAGACTGATTGGGAGGGTTTCCCCTGCCTGCTTGCCATGAGCTGGCTCCTGGAAGCTTTTGAGATGCAGTTTAGAAGCCTGAGAGAAATATGAGGGACGAAGCTTCCAGAGCACTCTGCCTGGGAGCCTCGAGGCCCAGCTGTTTGCTCCAGAAGTGGCTCCAAGGGGCTCGAGGTAAGCAGGAGGCCACTAGGACCCAGAAGCTCTCTGAGCATCCTGCTCTGCTGGCTGCCTCTCTCCGCTCACTGCAGTGGTTCAGGCTTCAGCAGCCTCGGAGAAGCATCAGCTGAGAGCAGCTATCACATAGGACCTGGGAGCTGCTCAGCAAAGGTAGGAGTTGCCGACTAGGCCAGGAATGGGGGCCAGACCAGGGTCTGGTGGTGAGTGCTGCCTCACCTTACAGAAGGGTGGCATTCCAAGGGGCAGCCCACCCTGTGGGATGGGATGGTGGGCAGTTCTGTCAGAGGATGGGCTCCCAGGTGTCCCAAAGGTAGTATTGGGATGTGGGCATCTCTAAAGCCTAGAAATGGGAGGTTGATCATCTCCTGCTGACAAGAGTAACTACATCCTGCAAGCATTCTCTGTCTGCCTTGCTCTGTGTCATAGAGATAGGTCCCCACAGCCTAGGAATAGGCCCTTCGGCATTCCGGGATGATGGGCATCTGAGTCCTGGGCGTGGGCAGCTCTGCTAAGGAGAGGTGTTGAAGGTCCCTGGAAATCTGCCCTGGCCTAAGAGGGCCATATTCTTGCCTGAAGGCAGGCCCAGGTCTGATCCTTGGTATAGAAGCTCTGGATGTGAGAAACAGGTACATGTGAATCCCAACAACACCTATGTGGCCTCGGACTAGGCACATGTGCACATCCTACATCCCGAAACGAGGATATCTGTCACTTGATCACGGCCCTGCCAGAGTGCAGACCTCAGACCCTATGGTGGCAAAGCCTTCCAGGTACTGAAAGGTCCTGGAGGTGGTATTGAACAAAGCAGTGGGAGGATGCGAGTGTCTACTGAGGTAGAAGGCATGATGACATGAGCTAGGAGTGGAGTCAGACTCCTTGGATTTCCCCTATGAAGCCATTACACCACGGCCCTCCCCTCCATAACCTTCCATCAATGCAAGAGTACCAAGTAGCTCAGTATATTGGTCTGTCTGCTATGAGGCAAATTAGAATCCTGGAATTTGAAGTCACTGTATAAATTTTGACAAGACTGGAGTGGTGGGGGTATAAGAAAGAAAAATGCCCAGTGCTTTCTTGCCCAAGGCTCCATCATGGCTGCATAGGACCCTATGTGTCCATGTGTCCACATGAGAACCATGGCCGCTGTTCTCACTCAGGGATTGTAGCTAGGTCTTGCTGGATTGGTCTCCTGCTATTCATCTGCACATAGTGAACTCTTTCTCCTTTTAGGCTTTACTCCCAGGTAGAATGGATATGGAGAGTAAAGGGTAAAGGATTTCTTTCAGGCATTTTTTCCCTGGTAGACTGTCTTATGAGAATCTGACATCTCCCTGGAGAGAGGCAAGTCTCTAGGCAGTTGTCCAAAGTTAGGGAAGCCGCAAATCCAGGAGCCTGGGCTATCCTCTTCATAAGCGAATCCCCTGGCTGGCACACGGATGACTGAATATTTTGGGAGTTTGTACTCTGGGGCCAGGATTCAATTAGTCAATTTGAGTCTGATTCAATTCGCAAGAATTGCACTGAACACCTAATGCCTGCATGTCATGTAAGAAATTGGATTAGTGAAAGGTTTATGGCAACACCCCAAACCTATGGTGATTGTAAAGTAACTTTGAGAGAACTGATGCTCTGGCAGGCTATGTGGTTCTCTTCACTGCAGTTGAGAAATGACGTTTTGTTTGTTCATTTGTTTTTTTGTTGTCATTGTTTGTTTTAAGTGGAGCAACCACCAGGTGCCCCAGCCCAGGAAACTGATGCTTGATGATTTTCTAGTCCAATTCTCCCAAGTCACAGTTGCAGAAAGTGTGGCCCAGAAAACTTTTAGCTTGTTTATAGAATGGCCCAGACTTAACAAGTCTGTGGCTTGTCTCTAAGCTGTGTAACTCAGCAAACTGTATTATAGGTGTAAACATAAACACACACACACACACACACACTTTACACTGGGGCCATCCTATTTCTATTATGTGCAATGTGAATAATGACACATAAAACAGATGCTACCTGCCACAGCTATGGGAGGTGCTGGCTTCATCTGGTTTCTCTGCTTTATGTGTACCTAATTCTATAATCAAAGTCCTCTACCTTGCCCCGAAGCACCTTCACCCTTTTCACATCATCATTCACTTTCACCCTTGTGACCGTGGGAGGAGACCAGAACCCAGAGGGCTTTGGGGTGAACTGCTTTTCTTCCACCAGCCAGGACATCGCAGTAACCATCCTGAGAAGCTGAAGAGCAGGCAGCCGAGCTAGGTGGTGGTGGCACTCACCTTTCATCCCAGTACTCAAGAGGACAGATGAAGGGGGATCTCTGAGTACAAGGCCAGCCTGGTATACAGAGCGAGTTCCAGGACAGCCAGGGCTACACAGAGAAACCCTGTCTCAAAAACAAAACAAAACAAAGGAAAGGAAAGACTAAGTAGGGAAGGACAGCTTTCAAACGGAATGCATCCTCTGGCCTTGGGAGTCCAGGAGCAGATGATCTGGCGTTCCTTGCAGCTGGGCATTCTGTCTTCAATGCAGCTCTCTCATTATTCCCAAACTGGCAACTCTTTGTTTGGGGAGCGATGATGTCAGGGGGAACTAAAGCACACTTGACCTTTCTTAGGTGATAGCATTATAGTGGTGAGAGACGCTAGGGTCTGTTCAGATTCAACAATGATTTGCAGAACACCTAGATTCTAGTCAATATGGAGGCCACTTCCCTGCAAAGAATGACACAGTAGGCAAACGAACTGTCCCTAGAGTCAGACTACCTTGTCTCTCTTGTCATGTAGTTTGGGGACTCTCTTTAACTTCTCTGGGCTGCAGGTCTATCTGTGAAGAAATGGAGACCATATCATCTGTCTCACAGGGTCATGTGAGGATGGTAATGAGTTGATGGGCATGGAGTGCATGGACAGGGCCTGGCATGTGCAGAGCACCACATAAAACCTATTCTCTGTGGTCAGTACTGCTATTAAGCAACCAAACCAGACCCTGTGAACAGTTATGAACTAGGTATCATTCCTTCCTTTCACAGATGCCTTCTAAGGAAATTGGAGTCCAGAAGAGTTGCAGGGTGAGCAATGTCCAGACCTGGAACTAGTAGCTGAATTTTATTCTCCTGCTCCCTATTCTGATGAAAAATCAGAAAATTCACACAGCCACCCTAAAGCCAGGGCACTGTCTCAGAGCTCAGCAGGATCTGGGAGAAGGGAGCCGGAGAATTGAGAATTGCCTTCAAGAGAGAAGAAAAGCCTGGAGAGCTAGAAAAGGGAGTGGGCAAAGAAGTGCCAGAGACCACTTGGAAGGTGGGGTACTGCAGGAATGTGACCATCCGTTCCCTGCCTGTCTGCTATTTCCCATCACCAGGGCTGACCCTGGGGCTACCTCCTGACAGAAACTGGACATGAGCTCCTGAGTTCAGAGCTGCCAGGCCTGGCACTATCACAGAGGAGCCCAGCTTGGAAGGCTGCTGATAGGGGTCTGTCCTGCAGGCTCCAGTGGAAGGCTCCCAATGAAAGAAGAAAGAAATCTGGAAGCCTAGGCCTGGGGCTTTACATCCCAGGGCTGTGGAGTAGGATGGGGGATGGGCCTGTAACAGGAAGTGCCCTGGGTGTCCTCTTTCGGCCCCATGGAGTCCTCATCCATCCCCCAGTCATCAGGAAACTCCAGTTTGGGAAGAGCTCTTCAAACTCCAGGTCCCTCTACGGCCAGCGGGGTCCCAGAGTTGGGGCTTCAGGACGTGGCTGCAGAGTCTGTGGCTCTCTTCTTCATGCTCCTGTTGGACCTTACTGCTGTGGCTGGCAACGCTGCTGTGATGGCTGTGATTGCCAAAACACCTGCCCTCCGCAAATTTGTTTTCGTCTTCCATCTATGTCTGGTGGACCTGCTGGCTGCTCTGACCCTCATGCCCCTGGCCATGCTCTCCAGCTCCGCCCTCTTTGACCATGCCCTCTTTGGGGAGGTGGCCTGCCGCCTTTACTTGTTCCTGAGCATTTGCTTTGTCAGCCTGGCCATCCTTTCCGTGTCTGCCATTAACGTGGAGCGCTACTATTATGTGGTTCACCCCATGCGCTACGAGGTACGCATGACCCTGGGGTTGGTGGCCTCCGTACTGGTGGGCGTGTGGATAAAGGCCCTGGCCATGGCTTCTGTGCCAGTGTTGGGAAGGGTCTCCTGGGAGGAAGGAGCTCCCAGTGTTAACCCAGGCTGTTCTCTCCAATGGAGCCATAGTGCCTACTGCCAGCTTTTTGTGGTGGTCTTTGCTGTCCTTTACTTCTTGCTGCCCTTGATCCTGATTTTTGTGGTCTACTGCAGCATGTTCCGGGTGGCTCGTGTGGCTGCCATGCAACATGGGCCGCTGCCCACATGGATGGAGACACCCCGGCAGCGCTCCGAGTCTCTCAGTAGCCGTTCTACCATGGTCACCAGCTCGGGGGCTCACCAGACCACTCCACACCGGACGTTTGGGGGTGGGAAGGCAGCAGTGGTCCTCCTGGCTGTAGGAGGACAGTTCCTGCTCTGTTGGTTACCCTACTTCTCTTTCCATCTCTACGTTGCCCTGAGCGCTCAGCCCATTTCAACAGGACAGGTGGAGACTGTGGTGACCTGGATTGGCTACTTCTGCTTCACATCCAACCCTTTTTTCTATGGATGTCTCAATCGTCAGATCCGGGGGGAGCTTAGCAAACAGTTTGTCTGCTTCTTCAAGGCAGCTCCAGAGGAGGAGCTGAGACTGCCTAGTCGGGAGGGCTCTATTGAGGAGAATTTCCTGCAGTTCCTCCAGGGGACCTCTGAGAACTGGGTTTCCAGACCCCTACCCAGCCCTAAGCAGGAGCCACCACCTGCTGTTGACTTTCGAATTCCAGGCCAGATTGCTGAGGAGACCTCAGAGTTCCTGGAACAGCAACTCACCAGCGACATTATCATGTCGGACAGCTACCTCCGTCCTGCCCCCTCACAAAGGCTGGAGTCATGATGGACACTTGGAGGGAAATAAGGCTTGGGACTGGTTTATGGTCTTAAGGACTGCCTTTTCCATCTGGCTGGGGTTTGGGCTGGGGTCTCTGGACTTAGCTTTTGCTTCGTGTTTCCTTGGTCAGGACCAGAGTCAACAGACTGGACATGTGGCAAAAGCCTTGGACTTGGCTGTGATCTTTGACTATTGGGGGAGGGAACCTGGGTATGGTGAGCCGGTGATGAGAGACAAGGGCCACAAAGGTGAGGTGATGCCTTTCTATCAGTGAACATGTCATGTCTCGGGAAACGGGAAATTTCCAAGGGTAGGCATTGGAGCAGCAGACTAGGAGCACAGTTATTCTGAGGACCACTGAGGTTTATTTACTTCCTTCTGGTAATAATAGTTCAGGGTAATATTTACACTGAAACAAGGCAAGGAATTGGCCCATATCTTCTCATTTGCGTACCAGGTTAAAAACAAAGACGAAAATACCAGGTTAAAAACAAAGACAAAACGGTAGCCAAGTGTTACCAGGAGTTAATAGATTCCTTTTTAAAAAATTAATGTATAAGGTTTCTCTTCGAGTAGACCAGTAGGGTGAACTCTTCTGGATTTGTCCGATAGCGAGGGAAAATGCAGTAAGAGCAGTGGAAGAGACAGAAAAACTCTCTGCAGCTCTCTCCTATTATCTTCCCTGCATGTAGGAGATCAAGTACGGGTCTTGATCTCAGCAGAGACAAACATGAGGCGGGCTGCCGCGTTCCTCCTCATCTTTTGAGTAACAGGAATGACTGGGGGGGGTCAGAGAGCTGAGGGTGGGGGTTAACCTTTGAACTGATAACATGGCTGGATACAGAAAGGCCAGGTAATCTATTCTGATCAATAATACTGCCAATCTTTTCTTTCCAGGACTGGCCTCCCTGATCTCTCTCCTCATGGCAGTGACCCACTTCCAGCCCCCTGGACAATCGGGTACAGGAGACTAAGGTCGGGCAAAGGGATGGGTGGGGTTTCCACAGCCCATGACATGCTTCCCTGTTCTCAAAATTAGCTTCTGTGATGAAGACTTAAAGGTGTCTCCTACCTGCATCCCTAGGTGGGAGCGAGGGCAGAGAGTTGGGCATTGCTGTTTACTGATTAAGACTATAGGAATCATATTGGTTAGTGTCCATGAAGGTATTTTCAATGGAGAGGGATTAATTGCAAGCTGGACAGGTTACCTATCTGGGACCTCCTGTCCATTCCACTTCCCTCAATTGAAAGGGTTAAGATAGAAATAGAAGGTGATGTGGTCTATATCTGAACAAATTTCTGGTTCATTGAACAACAAAGGGGGAAAGTGTGTTGGGGTGGAGTAGTTTCCCCTTTGGACAACTAATAAATTTTATGATAAAAGTTATATTGATATCAACATTGACTCCTTCAGTTCTATTCAATGCATAAATAGTTAAATGCCAGCATTCTCTGGGACACACACCGATGATGTGTGGTCTCTGCTTTCAAGGAGTTCATAGTCTAACTTGACCAGAAACTGATACTTTGGTAGAGCATATAGGTCTGATAAAGTAGTGCAGTATAGAGAATATATCCATGGTTCTGACTTCTGAGAATTCACTGAAGTGGTACATAGAGCCTCCATGCAGGTTGTGGAAAGTGTGGGGAGTGTAAACAAAGATCTCTAGAGAAGAAAACAACCCATTAAATTAAACTTGGCAAACAGCTTTTTCCCCTTTTGGACTGGGTACATTTCCAGGTTTCTGTTTTCCTATCTTTTGTGTGTTCTTCTAGTCTAGTGCCTATTACACTGAGGAAATCCTTAGAAAGTATATACATTGAGGAGAATCCTTTCATGTTCAAAACCATCTCCCCTCTCTTCTGAGATGAACTCATGCTGAGAAATCTTCTTACTGCATCATAAGGGAAAAACTTTCATAGACTTATTAATCCACCAATCAGCTAGTATACCCAGAAACTGCCAGAAGATGGCAGTGTGAGCCCAGTAGAAACAGGAAAGGCCTTAATGGGTGTGTGTGTGTGTGTGTGTATGTGTGTGTGTGTGTGTGTGTGTGTAAAACATTGCTTGACAGCCATTTTGTTAAATTTATTTATTTTTTGCTTTGCCCTCCAACCCTTACTTCACATAAAAGTTTTAAGTGCAAAGACAGTTCTAATCCATACTGAAATAACCTGATACTGAGATCTTGCTGTCATTAACTAATAAGTTGGGCATATAAGAAGTAAAACTTTCCCTGTTATTATGCAGACAATTTTCTCCACAACTTTTGCTATAACCACCTTCCAGGAATTTTCTAGTCACCAAGATGTATTGGTAAAGTTTAATATACAATCCTCAGTTCTTCAAAGGTGTTCCTGGAACAGCAGAATGAGACCATCATCTTGTCAGCTACTGTTGCCTACATCTTGGTATTGAGGTGACTGCCATCCTAGATAAGAACTTTAGATTTTCTGTTGTCAGGTGCCCTCAAACAATACTTTCTAGAGGCCTGGTAGAAATAGGGGTAGAGTTTAAATCGGTAGATGTTCTTACTGTGTGTTTATGAGAGAGCTGCTTAATTTCCCTGAGCCTATTTCCTTATCTGTGACGATGGGGACCAATATTACCTACCTCACAGGGTTGTTGTGAGGATTAAGAGATGAGACATGGAAGCACTTAGCCATACCTGGAAAATAGGTATTTAATAAATGTTGTGTTTTCCCTTTCCTTTTGCCCCCTTTACCCCCCAGAAGTGATCATAAAGGAAAAGCAGCCTCTTTGTTTTTTAATGGCCACTTGGAAATGAGTGGGGGACCTTTCAGACTTGGAATTGATAAGCATTATGGTGAAGTAGATGAGGTTAATCTTCTGATTAAATGGTTCTAATTAATTTTCACTGTATAGACCTTTCTGTTGGGAATTTGTATTTTAAGTTTAGTTTCTACTAGAGAAATAGTTCTAAATTTTAGGGGAAAGTTTCGGAGGCTGCAAAAAGGTGACCTTTCTTAAAAGTGGCAAGAGTCACTGCGGGACTATTTGTCAGTAAAGGTATTTTAGGATTACCTTCACAAGGTTATAATTTATTTACAAATCTTCAGGCAATACTAGAGAGATGACTTTTAGTAAATTTCCCTTTTTCAGTGGTTATATCGGAACTCTCGTTAAAGGAGGATACACTGGTTTGCTTCTGGGCATGGAACTACGTCTTGGTTTATATTAGAGAAAGGGAAACTTGGAAATGTTTGAATGAACGACACTTATCTTCCACGTTCTATTATTTGCCAGAAGTCGAGTGATCCTTTGCCAACACAGAAGTGCCAGGCAAATGTACAGCTCACAGAAATTCATACGTAGTTGCAGAAGGACTACTCCTAGGCCTAATGGGTGTAGCATGAGTCATAAATGGAACCCCGGCTGGGCAGTTTGTTCCCATCTCAAAGTTCAGACTGAGTCAACTTTGGATGAAGTGGCCAACACTCGGCTTTGGGCAGAGACCCAGGCTCCATAATCACAGATCAACGGGTTGCTTTTTCTTTTTTTCTTTTTCTTTTTTGGCCAGGGGGACTTTTCCCAGGTGAACTTTCCAGAGGGCTCTGAGCTCTCCTTTAGGAATCCAGTCTTCACCAAACCTCCTGTGCGACCTCAAGAGTGCACCGTGAGCTGGAAGTCCCTCTTTTTTTTTTACGCTTATCCAAGCCCGGGAGCTCAAGAAGTAAACGGGTGTTCAGGCTGGGAGGTGCGGAACGAGGGAACCTTGTTCCTCCACGGGAACAGCCCGTCTCTCGGCGACTTCCGCTTTCCGTACCTCTTTCGCTTCCCACCGCCACCGTGCTCTAACTGGTAACGGCCGCTGGGCGTCGCCGGAAGTGTCGTAAACGGCAGATATCCGGTTCTTCCGGGCGCTGGGGGAGCTGACGGAGGAGGCCACCGCCCAGCAGAAGACGCGTCTCAGCCGGTGTAGTCGTGGTTCCCGCGGTGTGTGAGTCCGGACCTGGTCCCCTCTCCCGCCGCCGTCATGGGCTGCACGTTGAGCGCCGAGGACAAGGCGGCGGTGGAGCGGAGCAAGATGATTGACCGCAACTTGCGGGAGGACGGCGAGAAAGCGGCCAAAGAAGTGAAGCTGCTGCTGCTCGGTGAGGGACTGGGGGCGGAGCTGGAGTCCTAGACTCCCGAGAGTCCGGCCCCGGGAGCAAGCTGAGCTGACAGGGGTCTGGCTAGGCCGTCGGAAAGGACCCCAGAGGGATCGGGAGGGGATGGATGCCCGGCATGGGGCGAGTTCTGGGCTTGGTGATCGAGGCCCCGGAAGGCGTGGGGAATTTCAGGTTGGAGAGGGTGTAACCGGACTGGCATGGTGCTTAGCAGAGTTTGGGAGTTTGGAGCTTTGAGGCTGGGTTGAGAATCCGGGAAAGGCTCGTAAAGGGAGGGACCAGTATAAGGGAAGGTTTCACACATTGGATCGGTTTGGGACGTGTTGAGGAGGATAGTGTATGGTGTCTGATGGGCCTGTCCGGGGTTTGTGTGAATATGATACTTGATGGCAGCATAAAGCTGGAAGGATTGAACGGTTAGAGAAGCCAGGACAGCGGGATCAAATAAAAAACAAACAAACAAAAAACCAAAATAACAAAAAAAACCCTACTGTTTGTACAAGAGCTCACGTAGTTTTTGTACTGTTATTAAGGTGGATTGTCCAGTAACACCGGTGAAACAAATGACAAAGTCTTAAGTATAGAAGAAAAGAACTTGGATCAGAGGCCGGCTATACTTTTTCAGCAAGGGATAGGGATGGTATAAGCTTAGAAAATTGAAAGAATGCCATCTTTGAGGTTTGTGATAGAGGATTAATGGGCAATAGATTACAGTGGGGACGTTCTAGGAATGACGTGTGTTGGGAATAGAGTAAGAATAGGATAATATGTGGGATGGGACATATTTACAATAAAGATTGCAATAAATTTGGGGGGATTTTAAAGTAAAAATATTGGCTTCCAGACTACAGCATGCTGTCTTATACCAAACTTAAGTGGCATATATATATATATATATATATATATATATATATATACATACATACATACATATATATATATATATATAGTCAGACCTGTTTTTAGTCAGAACAGTTTAGTTTTAAACTTTGATAGACCCAGTAAATCACGTATAAATTCTCTGGTATTAACTTACCAATAAATACAGCCACATTCATTATGCATATACTTGAGGAATCTGTTAGATGAGAATATATACAAGTTACAGGTTCTGTAAGCAGCAGAACCTTTAGGTAAATTGAGTTCCGAGGAGTCACTGTAGAATACCAATTTCACTTTGTGAAGGTCCAGAGGTCAGACACAACCACTGTAATCTCAGACTTACTTTATGCTTTAAGATGTACTGGGTGCTTGTTTATATATCGTGGAAGCTCTAAGGAACAGCTTGAATATAAAGAAAAGATTGTGCAGTGAAGTTTGTGTTTCCAGAAGATAGGAAGTCAAATCATAGTTCTAGACTGCCAGTGCCTATGTAACAGGTATCTTTTGTGGATGAACATGGTTCCTGGTACTTAGCAGATACTTGAGTATTTACTGTTAACCACCCAATTTAATCAAGCTGTGGTGGACATTGGTTCATGGGGGCCTTTCAGAAGTCTGGTATAAAACACTACACATGCTAGTTTTCTCCATCATCCTGTATCAGCTCCCCCAGTGCTGGAATTCTAGCATGTATCATAATACCATTAACATTAGAATTTTCTCTTTTTAAAAAATGATTTATTTATTTTTATTTCGCATGCATTGGTGTTTTGCCTGCATGTATGTATGAGGGTGTCATCCACTGGAACTGGAGTTACAGACAGTTGTCAGCTTCCATGTGGTTGCTGGGAATTGAACATGGGTCCTTTGCCAGCCCCTGACATTAGCATTTTCTATATTGACCAGTCACTTATGAAATTAAATATGTATTCTCATCCACTATGATTTGATTTATATTGACCATTGATCATTGAAGAACTTAGGCGAGCAGAACTATCCAAGTATCTGTAAAAATCTTTATTCAGGGCCTTTAATTAAGAAAATTAAACACAACATCGATTAGAGAATTTGAAGTTTTAAAGTCAAAGTACTGAAACATTTGTTTTTCATTTTTACCTTTTTTTTTTTTTAAAGCATTTTGTTTTGTTTTGAGACAGAATCTTGGTCATGAAATTCATGAGGTCCTAAGCTGAGATTACAGGTGTGTATCACACCATGAACTCCCCCCTCATATTGTTATGTTTTTTCATAACAATATTTTGAGCAAATTAAACCAGTAAGTTGAAGTAGGTTGCAGAAGCAGCTGTTCTTAACCTGAGTTGTATCATAATGCATATGTGAAATTTAAATGATCTTTCATGGTGTTGGAGAGATGGCTCAACAGTTAAGATCACTTGCTATTCTTATGGAGGATTTGGGTGAGGGTCTCAGTACCCACATGGCAGCTCACAACTACCTGTAGGCACGTACATGGTGCATAAACATATGTGCAGACTAATCCTCAGACATAAAATGAATAAATCTAAAACTTTAAAACATGATCTTTCATGATGTTTCTTTAAGTAAAATTTACCTATATGGTGTGTGTGTGTGTGTGTGTGTGTGTGTGTGTGTGTGTGTGTGTATATATATATATATATATACACACACAAAAACACCCTATATGGTATTCCAGTTACCCCTTCCCCTCTTTTTTTTTTTTTTTTTTTTTTTTTAATTTCAGAAAGCTTCCTTTGGTACATGTAAAGCCATTTTTACTCCAACACTATGGGACTATCCAATTTAGTTTAAATTGGAAATCTACTTCTCTTGTCTTTCTTGGTTTTTTTTTTTTTTTTTTTTTTGCCTGTGGCTATAATTTAAGTAGTGATTGAAGCATGGGCTTTGAAGTCAGAATGCTTCAAATTCTAATTCGTGTTTACTAGCAGTAACGCAGTAACCTTAGGAAAGTAATTTTATTTGCCTCCATTTCTTTACTTTTGTTTCTTTATTTTTTTTTTGTTGTTGCTTTTTTCTCTGTGGTTTTAGAGGCTGTCCTGGAACTAGCTGTTGTAGACCAGGCTGGTCTGGAACTCACAGAGATCTGTCTGCCTCTGCCTCCAGAGTGCTGGGATTGGCTTCAATTTCTTTACTTTCAAGGTATAGGAAGTAGAGATCCTTCAGAATTGCTGGGAGGATTAAATATGATAGTAATATAAACAAAAGCATATCCAGTCAATAGTAACTGTTTATTATTGTTAAAAGTCAGTGTTATAGATTAAAAGTCCTGTAGAAGTTTCAATTAGTAAGTTAGTATAAGCTTATTACTAAGGATTGTAATTCCTCCTTTGGTTTGAATTTCCTTAGATACTATTGGAAAGATCTTGTTATGCCAAATTGCTGTTTAACTAGAGTTTGCCACTGAATTGTATAAATATTCCCAGCCAGTGTGTTTAGGGTGGTTTGTAGATGTGCTACTTGGAATTATATGGTCAGCTTTAACTCTTGTTTTGAGACAGGACCTTATTGTGTGTGTAGCTTAGTTTAGCCTAGAACTCTGCTGTCTTAACCTTCCAGCATACAGGACTGTAATAAAAGTATGAGGCACCATACCTAGCTCTGGAAGCATTTTATAGCTTCTAAATTGATAGCAGTTGAAACTGTTTGGACTGTTTCGGTATGAGTTTCTCTGTAAGTTTCTTCAATTTGATAATTTGAAGAGAAAAATTATTTACAAGGTTTATACCAGTTCATTATTTAATAACCTGTAATACTTTACATTTCATTTTCATGGCATAATATTGTAAATAAAAATATCTTCTACCAAAACCTTCCTATATATGTCATGATGTCACAAAAGTTGCTAGTGTAATGAACAAAGACACTGCTTTTGGATTCTGACAAAACCAAATTAAATTCCCATCTACTGGTTGTGAAATTCAGAACAAATTCCTTAACCATGTGAATTATATTCACATATGTAAGTAGGGATGAGTTTTCCTGTTTCATAATATGAGATGACATTACATAGAATGCTTAGTGTTAGTGTCTAGATGATAACTATCGGTAATGGCAACCTCTGTGAGAGTATGTGTGAAATCTGTCACTTTGGTTTCTGTTCTTGAGGGGTATTTCAGACAGGCACTTGACATTCTTCCTGTTAATATGCAAAAATCTTTAATTCTAATCTCATGCTGGTAATTATTTTATGGCAAACCTAAGTTACATGCAATGAATTGGAATACTGTATTTAAATTTTATATTATACAATTGGTTATTCATATTTAGTTTGCAGATTACCTGTGGAATGTAGTTACTGAAAATAAGATTCTCAGCCAGGTGGTGGTGGTGGTGCATGCCTTTAATCCCAGCAGAGGCAGGTGGATCAATGTGAATTCGAAGCCAGCCTGGTCTACAGAGCGAATTCCAGAACAGGCTTCAAAGCTATGCAAAGAAACCATGTCTCAAAAAAAAAAAAAAAAAAAAAAAAAAAAAAAAAGAGAGAGAGAGAGAAAAGATTCTCCTTTGATCCCCTTGTAGGGTGGTAGTCATTATAAATTTTGCCACCTATTTAGGATAAGGTTTGTAGAAGCTGAATTTCTAGTCAGGATTAATCA